GTACATCCAGATAATATTAAAGGAGTCCAACGAGGTCATTGGTGTGGATTGGGCTGAGTAAGAAGCATTGCTCCAAAGAGGTGATCATGGTGGTTGGAATTGCACGTCAACCAAATCATACTACTGGGTGGAAGATCTATTAAGGTTTAAGACTTCATGCATTGTAGGCACGTTTGCTTTAAAGGAAGGCTTTGGATTGCAATTGAAGAGTTAAGAGTTTTTGCTGACTAGTAATTTGCTTGTGTTGAAGAGCAAATTGGTTGAATGAATAATCACTTGAGCTTTGTATAGTCGTAGAGATTGAATTTAACAAAGGCTCCGGGCTTGAAGGCATCTCGTCCTACTTATAGGTAGCTGAGTAAGAGTGACCTCGATCATATAGCTAAGCTGAAGTGGGTATATCAGCATAAAAACGCTTACAAGAGCTGCAATTCCTAGTTAGTGACCTTTTACTGATTCTTGTGGCGCTTTGCATGATTGTTGTGGTGACCTCATTATGTTTGGTGACACATCCCTCATCATTTAATGAGGTAAGATGTTCCTTGGTATAGTCTTCCATGTGGGGTACGTGCTTTGGGGAGGGTCGAGTCCTAATATCCTAAGTTGGGCTATTAATTTGATGTAGGTTTGGCAATTCCTGACACGACCCAATAACCTGACACGACACGACACGATAACGAATCGGGTCGTTATCGGGTAACCCGATAAGCACCTGTTAAGATAATAGGTTGGTTTGGGTATACACGTGGGTAACACGATACACGATAAGCAAAATATTAATTTAATAATTTGATAACCCTAAAAAAATACTATAATAATTATATATATATATATTAAATTAAGTATTAAAAATTGGTGACAATTGGATCGGCTTAAATATACCATTCAATTTCTTAAGTGTTATAGGTACAAAATAAATAAATTTAAATCTACTTAATGTATATATATACACACACACCATTGAACTTGATGGGATACGAATTCTACAAAACTAATTTCAACGATCCAACTGTGAAATTTGTTTGTATATGCTTCCTGATCGCATCAGCAAAAAATCACAAAAAACAAACATTCAGAGATTAAGTAATTGGACAAAACTTTTCAACGGTTATCAACGAAAAATCATGATTTAACGGTTATTTTAACTCCGATTTTGATGATTTTTTACAACTACACTCCTTGACCCTACACGAATACAATGAACGAACTCAATCTTCAATTTAAAATAATTACACTAATGACTTAATGAAAGTATGAATAAACTCTTAAGTGTTAGTGAATCTATTGTTTTGATTGGATACACATTCTACGATACTAGTTTCAATGATCCAACCGTCAAACATGTTTGTATATACTTCGAGATCGCATACATCAAAAATTGCAAAAAAAAAACATTCAAAGATCAAGTAACGGGATAAAACTTTTCAACGGTTATCAACGAAAAATAACGATTTAACGGTTATTTTAACTCCGATTTTGATGATTTTTTACAGCTACACTCTTTGACCTTATATGAATACAATGAATGAACCCGATCTTCAATTTAAAATATTTACACTCGTGGATACCACAAAATCTTGTGTTATACTTAATGAAAGTATGAATAAACTCGTAAGTGTTAGTGAATCTATCGTTTTGATGGGATACGCATTCTACAAAACTAATTTCAGTGATCCAATCGACAAACTTGTTTGTATATGCTTTGAGATCGCATACGCTAAAAATCGCAAAAAACAAACATTCAGAGATCAAGTAATAGGACAAAACTTTTGGACGGTTATCAACAAAAAATTACGATTTAACTGTTATTTTAACTCTGATTTTGATGATTTTTTACAGCTACACTCCTTGACCCTGTATGAATACAAGGAATGAACTCGATCTTCAATTTAAAATATTTACACTAGTGGATACTACAAAATCTTATGTTATAGTTAATGAAAGTATGAATAAACTCTTAAGTGTTAGTGAATCTATTGTTTTGATGGGATACTCATTCTATGAAACTAGTTTCAACGATCCAACCGTCAAACATGTTTTTATATACTTCGAGATCGCATAGGCCAAAAATTGCAAAACAAACATTCAGAGATCAAGTAACAAGACAAAACTTTTTGACGGTTATCAACGAAAAATCATGATTTAACTGTTATTTTAATTCCGATTTTGATGATTTTTTTATAGCTACACTCCTTGACCCTATATGAATACAATGAATGAATTCGATCTTTTATTTAAAATACTTACACTAGTGGATATCACAAAATCTTATGTTATACTTAATGAAAGTATAAATAAACTATAAGTGTTAGTGAATCTATCGTTTTGATGGGATACGCATTCTATGAAACTAATTTTAATGATCTAACCATCAAACTTGTTTGTATACCCTTCAAGATCGCATACGCCAAAAATCGAAAAAAACAAACATTTAGAGATCAAGTAACGAGACAAAAAATTTCGACGGTTATCAACGAAAAATTACGATTTAACGGTTAATTTAACCCCGATTTTGATAATTTTTTTATAGGTACACTCCTTCACCCTATATGAATACAATGAATCAATTCGATCCTCAATTTAAAATATTTACGCTAGTGGATACCACAAAATCTTATGTTACGATGATCGATGAAAATTGAGGATTATGTAAAAGGAATAACATGCAAGCTTTGAGTTCCATTTGTAAGGTTTAAACTTTTGAGAAATGCTTCACAACCTTGAAAACAAAAACCCTTTCATTTTGCATATCCTTGCACATTTAATATTTTGTAATAGACTAGTAGTGTATGGATGTTTATTTATTCGGCTCTTATTTTTTAGTGTAGATGTAGTACTTAAACGACAAATGTGTTTTAATGTTTTGAAGTAATATTTATGTGGCAATGTGTGGTATGTGCAAATTTAAGAAAAAAAATATTTTTTTTTCTTAACAGGTCATAATGGGTCATAACTGGTCAGGTCACTTTACCTGTTGGGTAAAATGACCTGACCTGTTAAGAACCCGTTAAGATAACGGGTGTGACACGACATGACCCGTTAAGATAACATGTGTTATACGAAAATAACACGAATACAATAGACACGATCCGTTTACCAAGTTTAATTTGATGGACCGTTGTTGCACAACTTTCATAAAAATAGTTTGACTCCTTAACAAATTATTTTTTATTATGGCCCAAACAGGTGGAGGAGAACATCTACCCATGTAGCATATATAATGTTAAAAGGGGAAAAATTAATCCAAATAGAAATAATTTTCAAGCATTATCTTCTTGGGATGTATTATCTACACACATTTTTTTACTTCTCACACACCCCTTTTTAATTTCTGTCCGTTGATCTTCTTCATTTCATCTTATCTGACGGCCTAAAATTAGAAGGGTGTGTAAGAAGTAAAAAAAGGTGTATGAATATCACACCTCTACCTCCTTTTGCAGACTCGCTTAAATTGAATTTGAAAATAATGCTCCTCTTTTAATTGCCACGTTCGTCACTAGAAAAGAAATTAACCATGTTGGTTTATGACCCCAAATGAATAAACAACTTGGGACTTTTAATTGCTTGACTATGACTGCCAGCTCATTGTTTTTAAAAGGTCAAAAAGGGTTTTGGGGTTACTTTGTAGTATGATTTAGTGATATTCATCTTTAATTACAAAATGTTAAGTCTTAAGTTCAACTTTTTTAAATGATAAGTTCGATAACAATGTATTATGACTAGTCCATTACAAAATTTAACATAAATTCTTTACCAATTGATGTAAATATACTCTTCCAAATTTTGATAGAAAAAAATATTTTAGTGCATGATGGAGAAACACCCGTCTTTATGATCACTTCTTGCTCGATCGGTCGTCAGACTCGTGTATATCAAATGCTCGCACTTTCCAATATCTAGAGGTTACCTTTTAGCCAAAATTTTCTTGTTTGATTTTGTTTTCCAGTTTTATGACCACTCTGCATGTCTTGCATTATGATTTAATCAGCGCTTCCATGAAGTGTTGAACTTTTATAATTGTTCTGGTCGGTGAGTAATTTCTTATGCCATATCACTTTTCTTACTTCCCCACTTAGTGGGAAAATACTTTTTTATTGTTGTTGTATATGACTTTTCTTACTTCTCTCTTGGTTACAAGTTTTACGATGGCCTAAACGAAACAAACAAACAAACAGCAACCCAACAGCCCGTCCCCTGGTAAAAACCCTGACCGATAAAAAAGTAGATTTGGAGAATGCAAATAAATAATACCTGGCTACTCAAACTCTAATTATAAATACCCTATGTTTATAACTAGAACCGGTTATATTATAAGTCAATCTGTAAAAGTTATATATATGCAAAAATTCAATGAAAACCAAGATCGTTTAGTTATTGAACTGTATAAAAACATATAAACGGAAGTGGTAGAAGCTTTACAAATTGTCTATTTATTTGCTACGTTGGTTGACTAAACGACCTTAGTTTATTTATTATTTTGTAGTTATGATATTTATAGAGTGATTTATAATAAAAACTGCTCATTACAAGCCCCAAGTTTTGTGAACAGACACGAAGAATTTTAAGTAAGAGTTCATACTTATCATTGAGTAATCGATTATTGTTAAATTCAAACAGAGCAATTCTCCAATAAAAAAAATTAACAAAAGCACAATAAGATATCAAATCACTATTTAGGTACCTAGTTGGCAGGGTATTTACAAAATTAACATAATGAATAAATCTAATATTTAGGTACCTAGTTGGCATCGTCAGACTTGGGAAAGACAATAATAGTGTTTTGTTTTATAATTTCTGTAGATCCGGTATCTCTTATTACCGGTCAAGTTGAAGCTGCCAATTTATTTATTTTTATGCACAATGATTTAACCATACGTCAACGACTGTGTAGTATGAAATAAGGTAGCCAGCCTTTTTTTATCACATTCCATTTGTAGTAATAATATACTTTCTGCAACTCAAGATAAAGGAGAAGGGTAAGCTTCCATATTTCTCTCCCTGTGAAATTAATCAATAGGGTTTCCTTATTTAAGTTCCATTCCTCAAGTTTCATGGTTAACATTAGGCTGCAACTTCTTGTTTCATTTTTTTAACATAAATTGTAAACTGATATCCGACGGCGATTCTTTTGCTCTCCAGGACCATCTTGTCACTAGATTTGATTAAACAGGGGGAACTAGCTGAGCTGCATTAATATGGACGTATCATCAGCCAAATGGTTTTCTGACTCGGTAATTTTCTGACTTTTGAGTTCTGAGAATACATATGGTGTAATAACAAAATACAGTTTAATTATTAGCAATTAAATTGTAGCTTTTGTTATCTGTGTAGTATTTATATAAATTTATTTTAATATTTTTTTGTTCCAATTTGCAGGGAATGGACTACAGTTTCATTCCTCAATGCCACTTGAACGGTCTAGATGAAGGGTTTAATGCACATGATATTGGCACTGCCCTTGGGGAGAATTTCAAACATTCTTTTTCTGAGAGCTATTCCTCTTACTCAACTTTGACAACCAAAAACACCACCACCACCACGACCATCGCATCAAGTGGTTCATCCATTAATGAGACTTCTCATGGTACCAGCTTTGAGAGCCCAGCCAAACTGCTCAAGACTAGCAGCTGGAACTCTAGCATCACAGAAAATGTTTCACCAAAACCTTGTTCTTCCTCCTCCCAGATTCTTTCTTTTGAGAACTTGAACTCACCACTGCCTTCCAACCCTCAAAAGTTTTGTAATAAATTCGAGCCTGCGTTGAAGTCAAAGGATGAGGCACCATCCCAAATTAACATGCAGTTTTCACATGCTCAAGACTATGAAGCAAAAGGCTGTAGCCAGGGCACTAAGAGGCCTTGCCCAACAAGTAGAACACCTTCACATGCTCAAGACCACATAATGGCTGAAAGAAAGCGGAGAGAAAAGCTCAGCCAGCGCTTCATGGCTCTTTCTGCGATCGTTCCTGGCCTAAAGAAGGTACTGTATTTTTCTTGACAAAGATGATCAAAACCCCAATTTTTATACAAATTAGTACATGGTTTATTTAACACTTTGACGACAAAGCATATAAATATATGTGTCTGGTAAACATTAGCCATTAGCTCGTTATCTTGTAATGTCAACGAATCATAGAATGGACTCTAACTAAGTATATAATATGTATGTTTATTAACACTGTAATATTTCAATTTCTTGGCTATAGATGGACAAAGCTTCTGTTCTTGGAGATGCTATAAAGCATGTGAAGCAGCTTCAAGAAAGGGTCAAAGTGCTTGAGGAAAGATCTAAGAAAAGAACTGTGGAATCCGTGGTATTTGTGAAAAAGTCTCAACTCTCCGCTGATGATGACACCTCTTCTTGTGATGAAAACTTTGATGGTTGCAGCCCAGACGAAGCTGCACTCCCAGAAATTGAAGCAAGAGTTTCAGAAAAGGATGTATTGATTCGAATCCACTGCGAGAAACAGAAAGGAGTTGTGGTGAAAATACTAAGCGAAATTGAAAAGCTTCAATTATCTGTGGTTAATAGCAGCATCTTCCCATTTGGGGCCTCCACTCTAGACATAACCATTATGTCTCAGGTATAACTTGTCGGTTATAACATCATCGAGTTATTAATGCTCTTTTGCCAGACTCTATGTTGCTAGATTGTAAATCTCAATGATTGGTCATGTTGATATTTTGTGCGCCACATATTTACAGTAGCATCACAAACATCTGTCAAGACTCTGGCAAGAGACGTTATCCAAACAAAATGCATGTCCTTTTTATAACTGATTGAATAAAAGTTTGCATTTCAACTGCAGATGGATGATGGATTCAATATGACAGTGAAGGATCTAGCAAGAAAGTTGCGAGTGGCTCTGTTGACGTTCATGTGAGATGCCATATGGGGCAGATATTCTAAGGATTCTATTTCTGCAACCTGTACATTATCCGAATTACCTAAAATTTATCTTTTCCCAACCCTTTGCTACTAGCTTGCTACTTTTTTCCATACCTGTGATGTGAGTCTCCCTTATTTTCTGACATCCCCCATTTGGGTCTTTATTTTTCCGTGAGGGTTATTGCTATATGTATTTTCTGGAGGGTTCTTTTTGTTCTTATTTTTGCGTGGTTGGCTGGTTGCTACCACGTTGAGTTTACCCACCTGCTGTGACAAATAAGGAACCCCATGGCCTGGTTTTTAACACAGTTTTTTAAGAGGTTAGAGTTTCATTTTTTAATGAAATATCTTTCTTCTATGTTTTTGGGCTTAGAAAGGAAGCTCAAACTTGGTCTATTTTCTTGTATAGGCCCCCTTAAGCGAAGGGATCCCCATTTAAAAAAAAAAAAAAAGAGATACTCTCTTGACCGTTAGATTTGGCTTTAATAAAATTCTGTGGTTGAAATTAAATCACAGGCCACAAAATCTTAACCACAAAATTTTATTAAAACCACATCTAACGGTCAAGAGGGTGTCCCCAATTTTTTTTGAAAAATGGGTATCCCCTCTCCTTAAGGGCTTCCTTTTCTTGTATTGGGAGAAACAAACTTGATCTATGTTTTAGAGGCTTGACTGTAATCAGTTACCCTTGTTATGCACTATAACTACTTGTTTCATCTTCCTATCTTTTTATCACTAGCTATTTAGTTTATTTTACTCTTTTATCTCTGAGATCTACTAATAAAATTTAATGTTACCTCATTAAATTATTAAATAGAGAAAGACTTGGCTCCTCGAGAATTTAGGAGGAATTTCTCCTTAAATTATCTCCTGGTCTATTCACAATATTTCGTGTTTAAGATTGAAACCGTTTATATTATAAATTACTATATAAAGATCATCTCAACAAAAATCAATTAGAACTAAGATTGTTTAGTCATCAAACTTTATAAAAACATATGGACGGATTCGGTAAAGGCATTATGAACCGTCTATCTATTTGTTACAATCGTGTGACTAAACAATCTTAGTTTTAATTGTTTATTTACAGAGACGATCTTTACAGACTGATTTATAAATGAACAGTTTCAATCATATTCACAAAGTTCTATGAATGAACTCCTCTTTAATTTAAGGAGTCTAGCTCTTCCATATTAAATATTAAATGGTGAAGCAATAAAGGTAAAATGTAAATAAACTTCAAATAGTTCACAATATATTTTCTCAGAAAGAAATAGAAATAAAAGCACATTCTGTGCTCCTATTAGAGGTGTAAACCATGTGGACTCGAAGCAAAGCCTACATGTTAACTCATCATTTACAATCGAGACACAAATTCAGGTCCACTGAGTTGACTATATACGAGCTCATAACAACTTGTTAATGTGGATGTAAATTTCCACAAAAGATAGACTAACAAAAATGCACCTGAAAAACAATATCGCTAGGCTAAATGACGAACACCCAAGAAAAAAAAAATGGTGCTCGCCCAAGGGTCTCCAATGCATAAGTTAGAAAAATTTTAAAGAAACTGAACGTGAGAGAGTTCTGAGTGGTAAATGGCAATTATCGATCTCTTTGTTTGTTGGCTATTTGTGGGAGAGACTCATCATAGATAGCCGGCTAGCAGTATTGTAGGCCATGCTAGGTAAACCTTAGTTTTATGCTAGTATGGTGCATACCTCACTAAAGAAACTACTGGGGCAGATCATCTTCACATTGCTACTCACCATTGCTGCCACCACCATCCGACCCCACCATAATGACCAACATCACCTTCCTAGCTCTACCATCATTTCCACTACCTCCATTTGCCTCCCCTCCATTGCCGCCACCACCACCCTTTTTTAATCTTCAATTTTTACTCAAATATCTAGATAACAGTGATTATAAGTTCTTTGATGAAATGCCTTTCAAAAATATCAAAGTTAAGGCTAAAAAGGAATGTTGTAAAGCCTTATATAAGGATAGAACCGACGAAAACAACAAGAGGCATAAGATAGCGAAGAATGAGGCACAGAAAGTCATTGGAGAAGTGTCGTTGAAGAAGTGATGAAATCAGCTTTTGACAACATGTATAAGCGATTAGATACCAAAGAAGGACTGTTAGATATCTATAAACTGGCTAGAGCAAGGAAAAAGAAGACGAGCAAGGGAAAGGAAGACAAGAGACTTGAACCAAGTAAGGTGCATCAAGGACGAGAATTGAAATGTTCTAGCTACGAGAACGTGGTTAATGATAGATTGAGAGCTTTTTCATAATCTTTTCAATGAAGGACACAAAAGGAATACTTCTTTAGGTGAGTTGAGTAACTCGGAAAAGTGTAGAAATTATTCCTTCTACCACCGAATCAGGAAAGAGGAAGTAGTTTTAGCTTTGAAAATATGAAGCATAGAAAAGCAATGGGTCCCGACGATGTACCGATTGAAGTGTGGAAGTTCTTGGGAAAGATGGGTATAGCATGGCTCATAAACATTTTCAATAAGATATTGAAAATGAAGAATATGCCAAATGAGTGGTGAAAAAGCACTCTGGTGCCTATCTACAAGAATAACAGCGTAATACAAAATTGCATGAAATATAGTGGTATTAAATGAATAAGTCATAAAATGAATCTTTGTGAGAGAGTAATTGAGTATAGAGGCAATCAATTTGGGTTTATGTCAGGGTGCTCGACTATAGAGGCAATCTATCTCTTACGAAGATCAATTGGATGATACAAAGATATGCATAATGATTTCCACATGATCTTTCTAGATTTGGAAAAAAAACGTATGATAAGAGATATTCTTGGAGGATTCTAGAGAAGAAATGAGTAGGTAGGAGTAACATATACCCAAGTTATAAAGGATATATATAATGAAGTAAGGACTACAGTAAGAATTCATGAAGGACATTGAAAGCTTTCCCATAACCATAGGGTTACACCAAGGCAGCTTTAAGTTCTTACCTTTTTGAGTTGGTACTGGACGAGTTAACGAGACATATTTAAGAAGATAAGATAAGAAAATCGGTAAAGGTGGTTTGGACATATGAACCAAAGACCTACAGACGCTCTAGTTAGAAAATGCGACTATGAGACGGAAGCTCATGGAAAAAGAGATAGAAGAAGACCTAGGCATACTTGGAAAGAGACTTTAAGAAAAGATATGAATTACTTGGAGCTAATAGAAGACATGTCGCAAAATCGGGTGCAGTGATATTCTAGAATTCATACAGCTGACGACACTTAGTGAGATAAGACTTAATTGTTGTAGTTGTATTCTTAGAGAGTTGTCAAGTACTTGTCACTGATGCTTTATACATCACCAAACTACATATTCCATTGACAAAATCTATAATTTCCCGTAGAAATAAGATTTTGCTTTTAAACTAATTAGTTGTTGAGGAACAATAGATTACAAGATCCCCAAGAACAATATATCTTTTTATAAGTAAATCTATTCAGTTCCAGAAACAATTTAAAATAAGAAATATGGAGTAGTTTGGAATCAATTCGAATACCAAGTGGCAGAAATCATTAAGGTGACTGAAGGTGAGATTATACTGTAATCTTATCCATTATTTGTGTAGGTATTTGGCTAAGTATGCTTGTTTTCAGTTTCTATTAATTTCCACATTGCCAGTTCTGACTGCAGTAGCAATACTAACCTAAATTCAGAAAAACACAATGTTTAATGAATAAATCCATAAAGAAGCACCAAAGTGGTATTGTTGCTGCAGCATTGTCTTGCATTTCAATATTGTTGAAGTTGTCTTTGCACTATAGCCTTATTGGTGGTATATATTTAAATAAATAAGCCGCAGTTGTCTTTGCATGTGCTGACCCTATAGCCTTATTGGTGGTATATATTTAAATAAATAGGCCGCACAACTGTATGTGTGTTTGCGCTTGTACTCCCCGAAAACTGGAAACGCATCCGGATTCGGTTATTTGATAAAATAAAAAAGGTTTTTTTTTTTTTTTAATTAAAATAATCTCTGAGATTTACATAACTTCTCACTTTGGTCTTTAAAATTTAAAATCGATAGAAATAGTCTCTGAGCTAAAAAGCCAATAGAAAATTATGAAAGGATAAATCTTGTAAGGTTCAATCACATACTAATTGGCAATATGGAGAGTAATTTTTTTTATAAGTTCTTACAAGGTTTTTTTTTTACCGATGTGAGACTCTTTTACCTTCACATTCTCACACGTCCCTTCACGTGTTGCGAACTTTCAAACCAAAAAAAGTGTACAACACGAATTGGATGGCGTGGAGTATGTATGGCCATTGAGCTTCACACGTGGGCCAACCTGGTCTGATACTATGAATAAAGTTGAGGTTCTACTATAAAACAATTAGCAATATGAGAAGTAGCTCAACTTACTGCCCTTGCATGATTTCTCTTTCACCGATGTGAGGTTTTTTACCCTTCAAATCCTCGCACACCCCTTCACATGTGACAAATTATCAAGTCAAACACGTGGACAAGACAATTGGGTGACGTGGAGCATGTGTAGCCATTTGTCTTCACAGGTAGGCGAACCTTTCTTTGATACTATGAAAAAAAGTTGAGGCTTCACTGTAAAACTAATTGACAATATGGGGAATAGCCGAACTTACTTAAGTGATAGGAGCATATTTATGCGACTTAGTTAGCTTGTTTTCTTGCATTTTCATAGCTAGTTTCTACTTATTATAGTGTTTTAAGCTATTTTCGTGTGTTTGTAGGTCTAATTGGCAAAGTTGGCAAGAAAGTGCATTTTGAAGCATTATAGAGCACTTTTGGGCACCAAATGGATAGCTTATAAGGGGAACAAGATGGATGGACGAATTTGAAGTTCAAGAGGCTACGGATGTGATGAAAAGATGAAGAAAATAAATCCAAGACAAAGAAGATAAGGAATCAGCTCAAAAGAAGGAACATTATCCAAAACCTTATCCAACCTTATCTTCTCCAAACAAACCTTATCTTATCTTATCCTTGCCTAATCTAGCTTTATCCTATCTTATTCAAATTAGTTTATGCCTTAAATCCAGTTGCAAGAGGACCTAA